TATTCCTCTAGCAACAATGGGGCTCTCGGATATAGCTCTTGATTTTCTTTTCCTTTGTCAACCCCTAAACCAAAAGAAGAAAAAAAAGGAATCCGTCAAATTTAGAGAAAGATAGATGATGCAAGTATTGTCCTTGCCAAGCGCAGTCTGGGGAGATACGACTATCAACTGCTTCCCCATGTTTTGCATCCCCAATGACATGCCGAGTTGCGTGTTTCTATAAATAGATATACTAGCAACAAGTACCCCTGAGGTGACTATTCATCACAACTTGCGAAATTCGAGGAGCAGGTATAGAGGAGCACTTACCGAGGACATGGTTTGCGTTGTTTTGAAAGAGTCAATCAAGTAATTCTCAGCACAGATAGCCCTGTTAATTTCAGTTGGTACATTCGTAGTGTAGCAAAGGATTCGATTGCCTGTTTTCACTCGGAGTAATGATCGAAGATATGCCTATCATGATACAGCATAACAGATAAAAATGTAGAAATAAGAAAGGAGGCAGGAGGCAGGACTAAAATGATAAATCAATTATACGACGAACTTGTTTTAATATCATCAAGAGCTATGTGGAATAGAAAAGGTTGATTACCTAAGTCAATCTCGTGATACCTTCAAGTGCATGCGGTTTTGCATGGGAAGTTTTGGGTTGGAATAATTAAAACGCAAATAGAAAGGTTTTAGACAGAAGGGAAGAATAAAGAAAAAGTATCATTGATTTTTTTTAAAAGGTAAAAAAGAATGCAAAAAAAAAGTGAGATCTAACCCGGCGCTCGACCTGAACGAATAGACCTTTTCGTCTGCCCCGACTCAAGTCCAATCTCGGAAATCGTCCCCTTCGTCCCCTTAACCACTTAACCACGGTCATTTTGGTAGTGGCTTCGAGTCAGGGTTTCGTGAAAGACAGTCTGCTTATTGGGCCCTTTAACCTTAAGGTCGGGCAGGCAGGTACAATGTCTTGTCACCTGGTAACCGCCATAAATTTTTCACCGCCCAGGCGGCGGCATGGTGCACGACGAACCGAACTTTGGCAGCTGTAAAATTTGCGTCAGGGCTAATATGTTAGGTACATAAGAGCTCCCAGTACAATAGATTATCTGCTGGTGTTCTATTACAATTCTGAAGACATCGTGATATTCTTACCTACATATATTTTATTTACCAACCAGCTTACCATACATAATTGTTTTGTATATTTACCATTAACACAATGGAATTGAAAATATGGCAAATTATTTACGAACAATATTTATTCCGAGGATGCCTCTCACCATAGGGCTGCTTCCACTCAACTTCGGAGAAATGTTGACCAACGCGACAGTAACCTACTGCACCCCCTCCCCTGAGCAGCTGTGTAGGTCTGCGACAACCACGATAGTTGATCGTATAATCAACATTTAATACATCACCTTTCGGAGATAACACTTGAGATCAGTCTGGAACTTTACCCTATTATGCTTGTACGTAGAAAAGGAAACCCGACCTTCATTGATATGCCGAAGTCAAAGTCCGCTAACTCGGGATACCTACTAATAACGAGGATTTTGGCGAACTTACGTGTCGAGGTAGCTGTGATGTCCATCAGGACTTGTGTCAGAGCCTTCTGTCTAGTTTGATTTAGGTAAGATACATCAGCCCCAAGGAGCAAGGCTTAAGGGGTGTTTGCCTTTGAAGTCTTGGGCTAGGTACCTAGGTAGTCAGCCCTTAATAAAGCGAAACGCAAATAATAATGCAGCTTGGCTACGTGCGTCAAGTCCTCTTCGATATATGGCCTGAAAGCCGATCAAGATTCAACTTTATACGTTTTATGCAATTGAGGTTGAAAATATTTATGTATGATCTACCTCCTAATTCCTCCCAAACCTATACAGTACCTTATCCCCTAACCCTAGACTTGAACCATCCCATCCCTATAATGCTCGCTATGATCTAACATGCTAAAATAAATTACAACGACCGTTTATATCGAGCCGTGGCTTAGGTCTGTATAAAGGTAGGGCTAAATAGGTAGTATTTAGCCATGACTGAATGGAATCATTATTACCACCCGGATTGTTATGCAAGTGAATAGGGTCCATATTTACACCTTGCCAGCTGCCGCTTGTGGGAATGTCAGAGATGCAGCGATCTATATAGATGGATGTGGGGAGTTGCTGTTCCACGAAGGGACGGAACTACCGTATATACACCTTGACGATTAAAATATAGACAGTATAAGTCCAATTCGCTATGTGCTTTGTTGTAAGCACCCTGTTGTTCGCTTTCAATGTTCCTGGATATGTTGAGGTGATGTGGGATGAACCGCATATCTAGTTGCTTAAGAGGTATGATATACTTGAGATGTCGTTTGGTTGCGGGTCGACTATGATGCTGGTGTAGCTTGGCTACCGCTCGATCCAGCCCTCTCAGCTTCGCCGTCATCGGGAATGCCATTCTTAGCTGGGGTTTTGATAAGTCCCTTCTCCTGAGCTTCCTGGATCGCCTTGACGAAAATGCTGCCCATCATCTCGTAGCCCTGGACTGTGGGGTGCGAGCCGTCCGGTCCGATCTCGTTCACCGAGGGAACTCCCGCCGCGCCCTCGCTAGGATGCATCTCGGCCAGAACGATGGGCTTCCCTTCCGCTTCGAGCTTCTTCATGATACTCCGGTACTGCTTGTTCATGTCTAGGACCGTGGTCTCGAGGTCGCCAACTTTGTTCGTGAGCATCGTGCTCAGGATGACCGTGGATTTATCCGACGCTTTCAGCAAGTAGTTGATCATATCCTCCATCTGTACGCCCACTTTGTCAACGTCTTTGTTCTGAAGTAGGTTATTGGTTCCCAGATTGATAAGGAAAACATTGGGTAGCGTCTTGGGCACAGCTTTCTTGGCGTAGTTGTGCATCTCCTTGATCTTCTTGCCCCCGTACGCCTCCACGTCGTTGTCGGTAAAGTCACCGAGTCTTACGGAGCCCACCATGTTTACTTTATAGCCCAGGTCCACAAGCTGATCACGCATAGGCTTGCGGAAGCCTAGATACCCCGGGGAAGTCTCTCCTTTAACGATGGAGGCGCCGAGCGCCATTATCCTCAGGGGAACATCACTAGCGCTTGCCGCGGATTTTCCACTAGTTGGTGTAGATGATGATGTGGAGTCAACTGAGGTCGATGTAGTAGGTTTGGCCTTAGTGGTTTTAGATGTAGAGGATGATGACGATGACGATGATGATGAAGCGGATGTGGATGTAGTTGTAGCTGTGGTTGATGTCGCGGTAGACACTGAGATAGGTTTTGATATTGATGTTGGCTCAAGCACACCGACTGCCGACTCTGCGGTACTTGTAATTCCTACAATTACTGACGCAGGCGACGATACAGCAGCCAATTGCTCATTGGATTTCGCTCCATTGGATGAGCCTCCGGCATGAACAACACCCGTCGCAGCGAGAGCTAAGATAATGCGCGTAATGTTAGTATACGTATCAACTCAATTATGGTTTAGAATTATAACTGAACTCCTGGGAACGTACCAATTACTATTATTGCTGCGACGAGAAGGCAGGTGACTCCGGTGAAAATCGCAATCCCCTTCTTAGATCGTATAAATATCATACGCGAGCTTCGCGACGGGGCGTCTTGTAACTTCTCCATATTGTCCCAGGACATATCTCTGTCCAATTTTCAGACGCTCCAGAACCTATAGGCTATAGAAACCAAATAGGAGATAGCCCTCCCCAAGGGCGCGGGACCTACGAGGTTATTTCAACCTCCCCCCGACATGGCTGACTACAAAGGCTGACATATTGTCTAGATCATCATGGGCGCGGGAAAGGAGATTTGCCAAGGCGTTAGTCTCATGTACGCCGGGGTTCCTGTCCAAATCAACTTCTTGATTCGACAGTAAGACGTCACATCCTATGCCAAGCAGGGCGTGTTTGCTATACTTATCTCGCCCCGGATAACGGCACGCGAATCACCACGGTTTAAGCTTAATAGACGCGGTGACGGTGCATATCTTTAACGTTTACATAGCCGCATTGCTTTTCGGAAAGTTCAGTCCACCTATCCCATCGTATATTGAAATTGCCAGAATTCTTCACAAGACGTAAATGGGAAAAGTCATGCTTACCTCTTACCCAAATGTTTTAGATGCTGTATGCAAACGTATGGACAAAGCCGATAGGTAGATACCTATTATATTATCTTTGATAATCGTCGCTTTAGGTTAAATCTGTTTTAATATGAGGCGCAGCCTACATATACCCCTGGCACAATCCCTCGACGACAGCTTTAATTATCTGACACGTTTTATTCTCCGGTTTTCTTGCTTCCCTCGTAGCAGATAAAGAATTCAATTGAAAAGGTAGTATGATTTATTGTCAATTTCCCTGTTTTCTTCGCATTTACACTTCTTAGCTGAAGGTAGCACCATAAGAGCTTTAAAGGATTGATGGCGGAAAGAAGAAATCCGCCGGGCTTATTCTAGAATAGGAGGCTTTAGAAGCATTACTTCGCATCCTAGGTACAACAATACCTAATTATTCGGCCAGAAGGAATGTTCAAGGCTGTTAATATTACCACGAAAAGTCCCAGGCACATGACAGCGGAAAGCCTTAAAGCAGCTGCCGGATCCATCGCGTGGCGGCGCCACTCAGCGCCAACGATTTCAAAGAGTACGAATATTCAATATCAAACAAAACCTTTGCCAGCGAAAACCCATCTGCTTCCCGACGATAAAGAATGTTTTTCCTCGCCAAGGCTCACTGATTTTAGTGCTGCGTCTTTTTACTATTGATCTATCTCTAACTTGCAATTATTCTTGAAGACAGCACAAAAGTTTGAAAACAATTGGAACGGACTTGGGCGGTTGAATAGTAGGTATACTATTTCTTCCGATAACTCGTCCTGAACTACCTAAATATGGTCTTAAAGCCTATGTGATTAGGGCGACTATAGCGGAATGCGAACCCACAAACTCTTGTTTTTCCCCCACAAAAATTTACCAAAAAGACAAAAAGAAACTCTCATCGGGGAATCGAACCCCGGCCACCTGCGCGCTTGTGCATGACAAGCAGGTATCCTGACCACTAGACCAATCGAGATGTGATGAAGCTAGATTCTTAGCTTGTTTCTCAGGAGATGAAAATTTGTCCTCAATTTTTCATTATACCATGCAAACACGCTGTACATTCTGTTGAATGATAATAGACCGTGATGTAAATTTGATTTTGTTGATAGTGACGTCAAGTAAAATCGTGTAGTATTATTCTCTATCCAAATATCAGGCGCACAAAAGGAATTAACCTAGTCTATAAAATTGGAATCCGAAGGCTACGGCTTCTTACAACTACAAAGGGGGTAGGTAGGTAAATAGGCAGAAAATATTATTCTTTCAAATTTAAAACCTCGTGGTTGTCCGTGTCGTCTACCTATGGTCCGGCGGGCGTGCCGGAAGGGACCTTTTGAAACTCATAGCCTTCCGACTCGAGGATGTCTAAGTTCCGATTTTTCTTGAAAATGAACCCTGGATGAGCAATCATAAGGCAGTAGACGGCAGATATAACCAAGCTAGAACGAATGATTAGCATAGCCCACGATCCATTATGTCAAGGCAAACTTACCATCCCTCCAGACCTATGAACAACGCTTCATCACGGATAAGCTCACCCCTATACCCATCACGCAGTTCTACAAGCCGATACACGCAACGAATCAGGATCAGCAGTATCGCCAACGTCATGAAGCTGAAGAAGAGCTTCAGCCTAGTCCCGAAATCCAGCCCGGTTATCCTTCTTCCCAGGTCGGCCTGGTACTGCGCAGAGCGGAAGTAGCGAAACAAGTAATCCGCAAAGAAGCCGCAGAAGATCAGCATCATAGCGACTTGCAGACTGAGGCCGACCAGCGCCATGTCTACTCCGATTTCGCTCTGGCCCGAGGACGCTGTCGATAGACCGCCTCCGGCTGCTTGGAAGATCAGGCAGATGACGTCGGATGGGATGAAGATCCAGTAGAAAAGGTCGGGTTTGAAGCGGGAAAGCGAGGGTGAGAAATCTTTAATACTATGTGAGATACATACGTTAGTCGATTGAAAGTATTTAATAGTATATGTTTAAAACGGGTAGGGATACGGAGCAGTTACTTACGCCGCCGCAAGCGTCACATAGATAGCGGCCGAATAGTAAACTGGGCCACTGGTAACACAAACTATTGGATTTTGGTTAACTCTTCGATACAGGCAACGTATATATCGACAGGAGAGACTAACTGATCTGAAGCATAAAAGCAACGAAGTCGAACGGGTTACAATGCATGGCAATCCGACCTGCGTAGCCCAGGGTAGCATTAACGGCGCCGAGAACCATGCATCCCATAAAGAACCAGCTCTTCCACCGGATCCCCAGATATATGTGGATGCATGCGGAGATGAGGTAAAGAGCTAGAAAGATGGTGTTCGCGGGGAGACTGGGCACGTAACCATACACGCTGATTTCTACGGGGCAGACTTCCAGAGTACAGTTGCCACCAGGTCCGAAGACCTTGGTGCCTGGCGGTACGCCTGGGGGAAGACCCGTCGACATATTTTTCGAGTCGAGCTACGTCTTTCAGGGAAGTATAATTCTGGCTATTAGAGGATATGAAGAGATGGCCTGGGCAGAAAGTTGACGATTATCGGGGTGGTCTCGGCAAAGTAATAGGTAAAATAGACGAGCGTAGGGGATAGTTCTAAATCACCAATAGGTATATAGCAGCTGAGGCGCCAGTTTGCATGTGAACTGCGGAGAGCAGCGAGGATAAAAGTATAGAGTTTTATAGCTTGGACTTATACGTATAGCCAATTTTGACCCCGTTATGTCTTCCAAGAGCTGGAACATTATTGCAACCTCTTAGCTATCCTAGGCCGCGTGGCGATCCCATCGTATATCCCACGAAAGGCAACAATCATAACCCATATAACAATACTTGGCTTCGTCTCCTCACGAAGCTTGCAGAGTGCGATTTTGAGGTGATCGATCATCAAGTTATCACTATTCCCAAGATTCTGTTCGCACTCGCTAGTATTAGTCTCTTCATTGGGTATAGTAGTATCCAGTCCCGGCTTGGCGATCAACCGAATGCGATCGAACTGGGGTTCCCATTGGTGAGAGGGCTAAATCTCGACCAAATTTTGAAGACAGCGGACAAAGATTCGTCCGACGTCAATTTCATCGTGAGGCTCTGTCGTATCCTTGTTTAGCTGGCCAACTATTCTTATGGTTCCTGTAGATGTGATGGAACGGGTTCAGGGGTGACAATGAGGAACACATTAGACGGAGGTCTGGACAGTACGATACCACACGTATGCCACGTAAGCCCCGACGTACATCCTTCAGGTCCTTAATCACCAGTTAGGGCAGCATTGGAGTTGGAATAGGGACTCTAAGTCATACGTGCTTCATCTGGAACTAGTCAAGACTTCACTAAGAGGTAGTAGGTATACATGTGTCTTTAAGACAATAATTACTATGTAAAGTATAATATCGAACACCCTACTATATAATAACGAAGTGTATAATACTAAATTTAAACCCACCTTAGAAGATGCGTACCTAGTATTAGGCTGAACGAAGAATCTGCCTGCACACTATCATTCTATTAATGAGCTAGCGTGCGGATGGGCTGGTCTTTAACTTCATCGACCCATCGAATCTTGCGGCTCCACTCGTTCGGATCAACAGACTCACGGTTACTCAACACATTCCCGATATGCACAGCTTCGAGGGCCTCGATGACATGCTCGCCCTTATCGACATCGTACAGCCTGGCCGCGCGCTTGCGCTCCACAGGCGTTCTCGACGAATTCTTGTGGTACATCCGTCGCTCGTGGTTGTCCACCCAGCTGTAGGCGCGCAGCAGCGGCTCGTAGCAGAGCTGCTGGAAAGTCCGACACGTTTCGATCGCGGACCCATCGAGACGCGCTTCGAGGGCGATCTCCATGGCTCTGTCCGCGAGCTCCAGCGCCGAGCACTGCTCCGTGCGGGTGGGGCCACGACCGGCCGGGCGCATGGTTCGTAAGGCCTCCGCGTGGAGGGATTTGACGATGTCGAAGGCGGACATGATGAATGATGGTATCGACGGAGCGTATTTAATATATATAACACATATACCTTATATTTTACCTGCGAGACTTCTCTAGCTGTTGAGTAAAGTTGATGATTTTGGAGAGCCCTGCAAACGGTAGATGTTTGCTCGATGGATATTTAATAGGATGCTGCGAGTTACAATGGCCATTGTGAATATTCTGAGACTTGAGGCTCATTATGTACCAACTGCCAATCTTACAAGACTTGGTCCTGAAAGAACAGCTTAATTGATATTGTTGAAGAAGAAAGCGAAAAGTCGAGAGCATAGCATTATTGGTGAAAATTCTTTCCATTTGTCTTTCTCAAAGAGTCTCCTTTATGCTTTCCTAGTAAAACAACTCTGCTTTTCAGTAGATTGTTTAGAGTGTTGTGTGAATATTCATGCTCCTTGGCTTGCATCATCTAAAGCGGTCCTCGCTCGAGAAATACTTACGTCCCGAAATTCAGATGGGTAATCTTATTTCAAAGATACCCCTTCAAACAAATGAGACTTTCCTATCTACGGTTCACGTACCACGCCGTAGTACATATCGGCCAGTATAGTGAATGCCTGCGGACTTTCGGAGATTTCGGTTAGCACCGGTCTCTAGCTACTTAAGATGTAATGTGAGCAAATCACGCCATTTGAGAACGTGTATCAGATTGACATTGCGACCATCAGGTGCTCATTCTCTCATTTTGCATATAAACTTGGTATTATTTCTATATCGCTGCCAAAATGTCCGCCGAGACAGCTCCCGAAGCGACCTTCCGCTCTTTCACCCCCGCCGAAGCCTCCAACTATGCTCAATTCCGGCAAGGTTATCACCCTACACTATATAACACCGTCATTAACCGGCATACATCGACCGGCGGCAAACTTGACACTCTTCTCGACGTTGGTTGCGGACCCGGCATCGCGGTTCGTGCCCTTGCCCCGCGCTTCCAGCATGCCTTCGGTTTCGACCCTTCGAAAGGTATGATCGCGGGCGCGAAGGAGCTTGGCGGGGTATCTGGAAGCGGAGAACCAATCCGCTTCGAAGTGTCCACCGCCGAAGACCTCTCCGGCGTTCCGGACGGCAGTATCGACCTAATTACTGCCGCGACCGCCGCGCACTGGTTCAACATGCCTGCGTTCTGGGCGAGGGCGGCGCAAGTCCTCAAGCCGGGCGGAAGCGTGGCGCTATGGTCCCACAAAAGTGTGAGGATCGCGGATAGCGTCCCGAACGCCGCGGCAATTCAGGCCGCGGTCGAGTCGATTGAGAAGGAACATCTCGTGAAGCACATGCTTCCCGGAAATCTCCTAGCGCGGGACTTATATGTTAATCTACCGCTGCCGTGGAGTGGGGAGCACCCTGTGGCGGATTTTGATAAAGACTCCTTTTCCCGGACGGAATGGGGAACCGGAAATGAAGGCTCTTTGCCAAGTGACCAGTTTCTCGCGATTGACGGGCCGGCGGTGGATTTGGACAGCATGGAGGCCTTGATGGGAACGGCGAGCGCGGTGAAAAGGTGGAGGGAGGCAAATCCGGGGAAAGCAGGGACGGAAGAAGACGTCGCACGGTTGATGAGGAGGGAGGCTGAGCGATTGCTTCACGAGGCTGGAGTAGAAAAGGGGAAGGAAGTTATTAAGAGAGCGACATCCGGTGTGCTACTGGTTGTCAAGAAGAAGGCGTGATTACCCATGGTGTCGAAAATTTAGAATACCATCTGTAAGATACCTAATCACCCCACAACGGCTATGTATGTATTTCCTATCACGAAACTAAAAGATGGCTACTATCGACGTGTCAGGCGTGTGACTCTCTGGAGCGATGCCCACGATGCCCACGGTGCCAGGCCTCTAGGGCCTCCTATACTGACGATTATACTATATAGATAGCTTGATTCCTTTGTGTTCAGTAGGATAGTCTATAGAATCGTTAGCATCAATCTAAGTCATTCCTGAAGCTTACTGCTATTGACTCTCTTGGAATCTCTATATCAACGTTATTACCTTAAAA